TACAGAATTGATTTGAACTGTTTACATCTATTAGTTTTTAAGATACACTCGTTTAAAAAAGGGGAGTAAAATGCCATATGTAAAATATTCAATTACATTTGTGGTCAAACAGATAACGTTTTGCTTTTGAATATTGATTGAACATTAAATTGGTTGGAATATAAATTAAATAGACCCTGTCAGAACAATTAATAATAAAATAAATATAAAATAAATAAAGGCGATGAGCAGACCGAACTTCGGTGCGTCACGTGTACTTTCATTTTGACATAACGTTGCGCGCACGTGTGTGTGTGTGGGGGGGGGGGGGGGGGGGGTGCCTGTGTGTGAATGTGCTTGTATTTGCGAGTGTATAAACGAGAAAGAAATGATAGAATGAAGCAATGGTAAAAAGACAATAATGATAAGAAGGAACATATAGCAGATGGGAGTCAAGTGCGAGTCAAACCTATTATATGAGTCAAACGCATGGCTAAAAGACGCAGCTTCTGACGTCACTACATGCGACACGAGCTGGGGTCATAGTTCACAGGAAGTGATGTCATGATCCGTCCATGGATCCCTCATCGGAAGACGCAACTATCAATTGCAGTTCTATAGAACATGTGTGCAAAGACGTGCAATGCGTTTTTGTGTTTTTTTGGAAACGCATTATTACAGACTCATTAGAGGGTGAAAACAACGCAACATGCTCATGTTGCGCGGTTTTCACCCTCTAATGAGTCTGTAATAATGCGTTTATTCAGGCTTGATCTGCCGATAGTGCACCGAACATGATACCTCAATGCGCCATCGGAAGGCGTTACTATCAATCGCAGATCTACAGATCATGTGTGCAAATACGTGCAATGCATTTTTGTGATTTTTTTGAGAAACGCATTTTGCGCATTTTGTACAGACTCATTAGAGGGTGAAAATAACGCAACATGCGCATGTTGGAGGCTTGATCTGACCATTTTACATCTCTAGTTTTGTATGCAAAAAGAATGATTGAGCTAGCCACTTGGTTACAGTTTCTATAGGCTGTTAAACAGACACACGCAAACCGGAGCGCCGACGCTCCCGTCGGTCTTAAAGGGTTAATAATTAACAATTTAACAAGTGGTATTTGATAACATAATGTCGCCATCTGCCTCGCTAAGTTTGGAATTATAGAAATGAAAATGATATTACAAAATGGAAGCACACCACAATGAGAAATCGCATGGAATCCAAACTGAGGAGAGACCGCTGTCCATGATCACGGTACTGCTTAACTTACAGGTAAGCGCAGCTGTAGCGCGAGTGATCAGCTATGATGATAGCAAATGATTTTGAGACATCCTTTAAGTTTCGTTGAGGCCGGGAGACAGGTTTAAGAACTGAAAAAACCCAAAGTGCTTTTAGAAACTTTGCTTGGCAGCAAACCGATTGTGTCTGTCAGCGCAGCGCATTTTCTCACTCGAGCATATGGATATTTTTGTATTTATGAACATGAAACAATAACCATATGCTGACTCGAGTACGTGCGTGTACGTTCTGTAGGATAACTGTGCAGTCTGCTTTATTTGTATTTTACCGTTGGCGCTGCTTGAGCTTAAATGCTTTTGTTATATTTTTTGTTTACACATATATTTAATGTTTGCAACTAAAATAAACCCTTAAGATATATTATAGCTAGTAAGTGATGTGTATTGCCTAATTTTAAGCTTGTTCAAAAATGGTGAAAAAAAATCGATTTCGTGGTTGATTCGATTTTTATGAGTCCAAATATTCAAATACAATATTTTTTTTAATGCTATATATATATATATATATATATATATATATATATATATATATATATATTTTGGCCGAGGGCCGGTGGTCTACGAAATTTCCCGGTAGATTTTTTGGTCCCACTCCGCCCGTCCGTCACGGATCCTCCAAAACAACACATCACCACATCAGCAGTCCATCACAGGGGAATATGACCTGAGCAACTCACACACACTTCAGGATACACAATCACACATCTGTAGCGGTGTGTGTGTGACGACAGTGCAGACCGCGATCACGGATTTACAACGACAACGTTTGATGAATTAGGCGAAATCTACACACGCAAACAGACAAAGTGTAATAAAATAAAGACCTAAATGTGTATTTTGGACTTTTTTTCTGCACAAGTCTAAAAGAAGACATGTTACTGAAGACAAATATCCCAAAATCTCAACATTGACCAGTGGGAAAAAAACACGATGTTTTTGCCTGCCATGTCTCGCTTTAACATTGATCTTAAGCATATCTTGAACAGTTGTTTCACAATAATACACTTAATACAGTATAATTTAACTATATTTAGTATGTCCAAAAGAAAGCCCAATTTAAATGCATTTCCTCTTCACCTGGGAACACAGATGATGAAGTTTACGATCATCATCAAATGAATCTCAAGAGCCTGAAATGGAAACTGGATCCAGCAGAACCTTAAAGAAAACTTTCAAACCTGCTTTATATATATTTTATATTTTTATATATATTTTGCATATATTTTGAAGTGACGAATCTGACCATTGGAAAAAAACAAAGTTCAAAATTATTTGAGCATTTTGTTGATGTATTCAGTGAAAAGACATTAGCAGAGGGGATTATAAATATCTCCTTTTGTTACCCTGTCAATCAGAAAATACTGCTAATAACCTTAAACAATTGATTTCCACCCCATTTTTAGGCATAAAATGTCATATAAATCAGGCCAAGAATGACATATGAACAAATCCCTCCGGACAAACCTTCACAATATAGTTATGAATACGAGTGTAGAGTTTGGTGTGTGTAGGAGCTAGGGCTGAACGATTAATTGCATTTGCGATAAAATCGCGATATGATGAAACGCGATTTTGTAATCGCAAGAGCTGCGATTACACTGGTCACTTGACACGCGAGAGAAAAGCAGTCTAAAGCATCAAGATAAAAGAGCATCAGATGCAAGATAAAGCATCAACTTGCCACGCTAAGCGGTCTGGCGTCCAGAAAAGAACAGTTTATTGTGTTATTTATTCTCTCCTCTCCTCAACAATCCTGGATCGATTCAGAGAATTTCAGAATCGAGTATGAGCTTATAGTTTTTAAACACAGATGCATGATGACGCTGCGCGTGCTTTAGAAACGAACCGTGTTCTGAATCTGCTTGCTTCTATTTTCTCGCTCTCTCTCTTCCTCACTCACACACGACACCGCTCGAACCTTACAAAACATAGTAACGTTATTTTATAAAGGTCGGGGTTGAACCAAATTACAAGGATATTCGCGGGCTTCATTGAACAGGTTTTGCCGCTTTGCTTGATGTTATAACGTTACACTTGCAGTGCGCGGTCTCTCCCGCGGGTATTTTCTTTACAAATGCTTCACAGAGGCATTATTTATGTCTTTTGGAATGCAGTTGGCTTATATTAAAACCATGAAAATCACAGTGAAGGCTGCTTTCATTTTAAAATACTAACGCGTGTTTGTGAAGAGCGCTCGTGCATGCGGCCGTGAGCGACTCATTGGTAAATGTACTTGCATGTCAAAATGCTTTTATGACGCGAAATTGATGTAAACACGGTCAGTTATATCTTAAACCAACGGGACAAACCACATTTACAATTTCAAAAGAGATATATGCATTAGTGTGAATGCAGCTTATCGTATCTAAACTGAGGGGAAATCACTCCAGCTCTTGAATGAAAAACATTCAGACAGCCTACTTTTAAATACTGAGACCACTCTTTGTTTATTGCTTGTAATTTGTTTTTTTTTTGTTTCTCTTTATTTACTAGCTTTTATATTTTGAAGCTATATTATTTTATATAGCCTATTTAAAATTCTTAACATGTAATTGGTTTAATTAAATGTTTTTTTATATTTATTTTTTAAAGTATGTGTTTTTACACATGTAATTAAATACATATTTTAAGAGTTATTAAGATTAATTAAGAAAAAAAGTAGATCGGATCATGAGCTATCTAAAGATTCCCATCCCTACTGTACAATGATTTATTGCTTGTCTTTGTCAACTAATACAGAAGGTAAATAACTTTTTTTTAAAATCGCATATTAAATCGCAATCGCAATATTGGTTAAAAAAATCGCAATTAGATTATTTTCCAAAATCGTTCAGCCCTAGTAGGAGCTGCAGAAGTGGAAAATCCTCACTCGGAGTGTGGGAAAAAACTCATTTTGAGAAAAAGGCTTTTAAAGATTTTTGTGCCAAAATTCCACTAATTTCTATTGAAAGCCACGAATTACAGACAAAATATGCCTTAGGTCCAAGTAAAATCCATGCATCCCACTGTTTAACATCCAAAACTCATCATCGCTTCATCCGTCACGGATCCTCAAACAACACATCACCACATCAGCAGTCCATCACAGGGAAATATGACATGAGCGACTCACACACACTTCAGGATACACAATCACACATCTGTAGCGGTGTGTGTGTGACGACGGTGCAGACCGCGATCACGGATTTACAACGACAACTTTTGATGAATTAGGCGAAATCTACACACGCAAACAGACAAAGTGTAATAAAATAAAGACCTAAATGTGTATTTTGGACTTTTTTCAGCACAAGTTTAAAAGAAGATTACTGAAGTTAAAGAAGTAAAAGAAGTTACTGAAGACAAATATCCCAAAATCTCAACATTGACCAGTGAAAAAAACACAATGTTTAATACAGTAATACAGTATAATTTAAATATATTAAGTATGTCCAAAAGAAAGCCCAATTTAAATGCATTTCCTCTTCACCTGGGAACACAGATGATGAAGTTTACGATCATCATCAAATGAATCTCAAGAGCCTGAAATGGAAACTGGATCCGGCAGAACCTTAAAGAAAACTTTCAAACCTGCTTTAAACAATTCCACCTTAATTTCTTTAGTTTGTTCTCCACATAATCAAGCACACTAGAGAGTCAGCAAGCTGAACAACATGTGCTAACGTTTGAGCAAAGGCTGAAACACAAGGACACAATAATTCATGATCTTACCGGGAATCAGACTGAAGACTGAAGACGCTGCTCATCAGGAGATGATGATGGTGTGTATGAGCTGCTCTGCCATCTTTTATCTTTTATAGCCTGAGTTAACTCCACAAACACCAAACAAAGATGCATTAAACATCATTAACAGTTAATGCACACGCAACCGCATCAGCAATCAGCAAACCACACTACACAATATACAACCATTAACAGCAGCACAAGTGTTATACAGAGGAGAATGTGAATAGTCATTAATACAGTGATATAATACTAATGTATCATACCAGGCATTAGCCATCATTACAACCTGCACAAAATATTTTGATACACATGATTATTACACATTTAAAAACAAAAACATCAAACACAGCCGATGAAAAAGAAAGAAAATCGCTGCCACCTATCTGGTCTTCCGATCGTCCCCATGATCTTTCGATTCATTTTACTAACCACCTGTACTACAAGAAAAGAGAAAGAAACAACAAAAAAAATAAAAATCACCCAGTGTCCTTTCTTGAGAAATGATCTACTCTATGAACCTACCGTCTCCATTAACTGCGACTGATCTGGGTAAATTAAATGGGTTAGAATGCCCCCCTGCTGTTTGCAGACCAGACCGCCCCAATTGGACTGGAGGTGATTTAACCATTTCAAAAATTAGAGAATCTTCCAAATCCATTTGTTCCACCAGATCTACATCTGATTTACTACACAACACAGATTCAGGTCTACTTCCCACCCCTGGCAATGATTCAGTAGAGGCTTCTCCTCTAACAACCCATGCTTCATCTGATCACTATCAGAGACTAAATCACTATTTCTACCAGAAAGACTCGGGAGATAAGTTGAAAAGGAGAATACATTTATTGAAAGCTCAGCAAGCATAAATTTATTTGTTTATTGAGTTCTTTGGCGTAGGCCCCGTCCTTAGCGAGCAAAGCGAGGTTAGCCGAATCTGCATGTCCCGCTTGAGATGAAGGCGGGGGTGCAGCCGACCCCCTGGAGGTAAGTCAAGTCGCATTTATTTTTACAGTGCTTTTTACAATTCAGAATGTATCAAAGCAGCTTCACAGTGGTAACATGAACGTAATGCAACACAGATCAATAATATTGTTGAATATTAAATGTCCCCAACTAAGCAAGCCGAAAGCAAGGCAACGGTGGCAAGGAACCAAAACTCCATCAGGTGATTGGATGGAGAAAAAAACCTTGGGAGAACCCAGGCTCAGTCGGGGGCCAGTTCTCCTCTGGCCAACATACATATTTCAAAGCAGCTTTACAGAAAGTGTAAGGAAGGTGGTGGTGGTGATGGGGAGGATGGAGGGGAAGGTACCATCTTGGTGGTGATGGGGAGGATGGAGGGGAATGGCAGCGTCAGCATCTGCGAACTCAGACAAGTGTAAGTACTAATCTTTTATACTGTGACTGTTAACACCTGATTAGATAGGAATGAGGTAATGCATGATGCGCTGATTGAGTCTTCCTGACAGAACTTAAGCTAAAGCTTTCATGGCTCTGCACCTCATGATTGAATGCACCTGCATTTTGATGACCTATCTGGTCTATAATGAATTTCAAAGTCAAATCTAGCCAGCTCCGAAACCCATCTCTGCTAAATAACTCCAAATTTGTCAGTCTCCAGAATGGGTTATTATCTGTAAACACAACAAATGACCAACTAAATCACAACAAAAACCTACCAAATAGTCACAACACTTATCGGTGACTGCCCATTTCAGTGCTAACAGCTCTAACTTCATAGCACTGTAATTCTCCATGTTTCGCTCGGATGGCCTCAACTAGAGGTCGACCGATTCATCGAATTTGCCGATTAATCGGCACCGATAGTTGATTGGTGGAACTATCGTTATCGGCAAAAATCCGCACCGATAGTTATTTCCTGGTTTCGTCCGTTGCTGGGGCGTCTGAGAAGTGCGCGCTGTCATTCATTACACAGTACGAGAGAGCAGAGAAGGGTCTGCTGGCATCATGCAGTACAAGAGCGGCCTCTAGAGGTGTCATAAAAACTATCAACTGATGCCTCGTGTTGTTTATTTCGACACGTGACACTGTGCGCTGCACTGAGAGCGCGCGCTGTGTGGAGAGCGGAGATCGCTGACATCTGATGCGCGTGCTAAAGCACGGACAGCGAGAATGTATGTACACAGGAAATTTTGTCATATCATTATAAACTGATGAATTTGTTGACTAAATGCTGCATTAGTAGAGAAAGAACCGCACAACAGTATGTTTGTTTGCCTTCGAGAGTAGCTGAGAGGACGCACATTAGTAGTACCTCAAGCGGTTAAAACACTGACACAAAAATACACCTAAGTCCGACCCGAATGTTTAATGTCACAAATTGTTACCATCTATTTGCATTAGTTTATATCCAGCTGGTCACTTTGATGCATTCATTATGCAGCGACGTTGCATTAGAGACGTATGATAGCAAACTGATATGTTCATACAGCCGACAAAAACAAACGAATCAGAGAAGCATTCGATTTCGGTTCTTTTTTCACCATCACTTTAATACATATTTATTTTTATTAAATATTCATTAAGTTCTATAAAATACAGGGCTCCAGACTGCGACCAAATAGTCGCATTTTGCGACCAAAATTTAAGAGTGTGCGACAGAATTTTACATCCAGTCGCACATGTGCGACCGGTAAATTTGCCACACGTTAAACGCATGGTAAGCGTGGAAGGGACGCGTCAATGAATCCGTGATAAGAATAACGCGCGTAAATGTCTGTGGGAACATGAGAGACGGAGACAAATATCACAACCTGATGTGCGTCTGAGCAATAAGCAACACGTTACCTAGCAGCGAATACAAACAAAATGAAAGTGGAACTAAAATACGCAACTCATATAGGCTATGCTTTCCGTTGTTGTTTTTATTGGGTAGGACCAATAATAGACAGAGCAGCGCATAGTGGAGCCCCCCGAACCACCGACAGTAATAAAGCCCCGAACTTGCCAGTCGCTGGTTAACACATTAATTAACATTAACTAAGGTTAATAACTGCTGTTCATTGTTTGTTAGTTAACATACTACATTTTTAAATTAAGGTTTTTATTTGTTAATCATAGTTAAAACTCTATGAACTAACCTGAATGATCAAGGTGAAATTGTATTGCTCAAATATTAATGCTGTAAACATTTGTATTGCATAATGCACATAGTTCATGTAAACTAGCTAATAAATCATTGTTAACAAATTGGACTTGCAACATGTTATAGCTAAAGAAACACACATTTGACATATTTTAATGTTTAAATTATTTTCAGATGGCAAATTTTGTTATTATTTGAAAGTCTTTTTTATTCATTAGGTTGGCTTGAAAAAGAACAGTTAAACAGTTACATTTGGAATGTTTAATGTGTTATTTAGAGTATTATTTTTTGTTTGTTTGGAAGAATGCCTTTTATTGACTTGTTTTCATGGTTCATACAGTTTTTTGTATTTTATAATAAAGTTCAGCACTGTTTTACTTGGAGTGTTATGTTTGTTTTTATCCAGTATCAATTTTAAAAACTATCGGTTGATTAATCGGTTATCGGCAGGTACAGCCCAACCTAGCTATCGTTATCGGTAAAATCCAATATCGGTCGACCTCTAGCCTCAACCCACAGCTTGCGTATGCAATCGGTCTTCCTCCCCCCTCACCCTCTTGGGACAAAATTGCTCCCAAGCCCTGGTGATAAGCTTCAATTTCCAAATAAAAGGGCTTTGTAAAGTTTGCATCCCCAAGTACCGGAGCAGAAACTAACTTCTCTTCTCTTTTTATAATGGCATTTTTGTTCAAGCTATGATTCTTTAGGGTTTAAATTGAAAGTTTATAATACTCTTTAATTAAAAATTCTCTTTAGTATTGTAAGAAAACATTTATTTTACCTGGTCAAAAACAGCTCTATTTTCAGCATGCCGTTTCAGTCCACATGCTTTTAAATGATAATGAGCTCTGCTCTCCCCGCCCCTCTGTTCTTTGAGTACACCATTTATAATACTATAACCATAACGCATTGTTCATTATAAACGTGGTGTAGAGGCCAAGCTCATCTTTAAGCCCCTGAGATGCTTTCCCTTGAATGTAGTAGTTGACGCACTGTTAACGTTACCTTTAAAGTTAAATGAAAGTCCAAGTCATCTTTGCAGTTAAAAACTAAAAATTCGGTTTATTTCCATCACAGCCATATCCAGACAAACTTCATTGTGCACATTCGACTTTGTACTGGCATCGGCGTGTGTCTGTGTGTGTGTGGTCAAAAACTGTCTGTGCTTCCGGGTCACACCTGAGGAACCAACGACTGATTCCTATTTATGGTAAGAGCGCTAATTGGCTCTTACACGTGGGATTATGAATTATATTGAGGACGTCATACATAGAAAACATGCCGTAATGTACCCTAAGTGTAAACCTTAGACGCATTCATTGTGGATTTCGAAATGACTGCTGTGTTCCTTATTGCACTGTGTGACGTCACACGGTCGAACGGCTTGATTTGAGACAGTGGGTCGTGAATATTAATGATGCCGACTGCAATGTCACAGATAATGTTATGCTGGGATTCCCCCGTCCTTCAGCGGTCTTTTGGAAACACCAGATTTACACATGAAGGAGGAAACACTGGTGTTCGAGGCGCACGGTATGTCCGTTCCACGTACAGAACTCTCATTATTCATCTATGCCAAGATAAACACAGTTCCCTTTCTGGAGTATCATTCATTCATACTCCAGCTTCTGGATTCTGGAAGATTCATACTTCAGTCTTCTTTTCGTCTCGGGTTATGACTATAACCCATGTTCCCTGAGAAGAGAACGAGACACTGTGTCGTCCTGCCACGCCCCTCGAGGCCTTGGAGCGTCTTGCTTCATCGCGAGGCTGATGTGTGTGTGTGTGTGTGTGTGTGTGTGTGTGTGTGTCAGCGTCCCCCAAAGAGTCGTTTTCAACGACGCAGTGTCTCCGTTTCCTTCTCAGGGAACAAGGGTTATAGTCATAACCCGAGACGTTTTCCATTCTCTGGCACCTTTAATATTGGTGAAAAGCTAATTCATGTTCAGATGTTGTGAACATTAGACTTTTTCACAGTACGGTACACCAGAAGAACAATCAAACAGCATCTTAGCTTAATGGTAATAATGACAGTAATGAACACTTTCATCCACATGTTGATAGTGAACACAATAGAGATGTGATGCATATATTTTACATATGA